GATGCAGGTAGGGATGGTTCCTTGTTAATGGAGTAGAAGTCTGCACTGAAACTAAGGGCCATTGTGCAGCACTGCAGGGCTGTTAGATTTTTTAACAAGTACTTTCTATATGTAAATAATAGCATTTAAAAACTTGTTGACTTCTTAAAACTTCTCATTTAACTGTGTTTTTAGAACAGATTTCTGTCTGGATAGGAATATAATTTGTCATTCTCCTGTCTTGTGACAGCAAGGAATTAGGGCCGGAGACCTTCTCCTGAGGCATTCAGCTCTGCGACACATGATCAGCTTCCTCCTGGGGGCCAATCGGCAAAGCAGTCAGGTAACGCCTATGGCTGTAGCCCAGTGAAGTGGCTGCGGTTTGGGTGGCCACAGTGCTGCTCTTTGTAAATGATAAATATTAATTTCATAAGAATCCAGGTACAAGTATCACGTGGCCTTTAAAATTCTTTGGAGTTTACTTATTTTTGCAGCCTCCTCATAGAGCATTCTAAATGCTGTAACCAATGGGAATGACTAGCCAGGACATCAGATAAAATGCGAAGTGCCGAGTGTCCTAGGAGTAAAGATGGGACCTGCCTGGGGGAATCGCTAGCCTTCGAGAAGTAGTGGCAGCGGGTCCTCTGCTTATTCTCTGGGACTGTGAGCAAGGCTGTCTTGGTGGAGGTGCTTAAGTGGGAAGGAGATAATAAGGCGAGGATTCAGATGGAAGGTTGAACTGCACACGCTGAACAGCGTTGCCGTGTATATAATACTCACACTCAGAGAATGAAAGGGAAGTTGCTTGGTAATAATAGGGTCAGGTGTATGCCAAAAAGACTCTCCTGTGTGAAGTTCTTACAATAGTGTGTTTCTCCAATGATTGTATTTCTCCTGTTCGACGGATTTAAAATACACAAAATGTGAACGTGCCGTAATGATAACTACTATTTACGGAGCGCCTGGGATGTGCCAGACGTAACTGCTTACTTCACACGCTCTACTTCTGACGCTCACAGTTGAGTCAAGCAGGCAGTTTCACCCCCATTCTCAGGCAACAATAGCAGTTCAGGAAAGTTGTGGCTTGTTCAGGGTCACGGTGCTAAAGCTCTGGTTTCCCCTGTGTATGATGTGTGGCTTAGGGAAGCTTTCCGTCCTTTATTAAGGGAGTCAGACTTGCCACTTAGGCCTCCGCCCTGCTTCCTGTCCTGCCGCAGTGCTGGTCCGACTCTGTAGTATTAAGAAACAAGTGCTGACAACACAGCCTGCTCTGTGTGCTGATAGCAGGCGGATATTTGCAGTGTCTTATTTTTTATTTCAAGCTTTTCCTTATCAAGGACTCCACTGACACTGGTGATTGATTTAAGTTCATTGTAATTTAAGTAAGATTTAATTTAATTAATAGTGTTATATTGTATATTTAATATTATTTGGCATTTATGGGGCGCATAAGTTTGAAAGCATTTTCACCTTTTGTGTGCCATTTGGTCCTCACAATAGCGAAGTGGTCAGAGCCCAGAGCTGTAGGTTATCTGTGTCTTTACCCAAAGAGGTCGGGCACTGCTGGAGAGGGAGCTCGCCCACATCTACACAGCACAGGGAGTGGCAGACGCAGGCAGGCCTCCAGGCCTCCAGCCTCAGGGGCTTTCTCCACCAGATGGTGGTGCAGGAAAGCTAACCTGGCACGTGGTGAACACTCAGTGCCTGAATTGAATACATAAGTGGATTTGCTTTAGAATACGAGTTAATACATCTGAAGGGGAAAACACTTAAGCTGACTTAAAACCTGTGGCTTTTTTGTACTTTGACCTCTCCTACTGTCAAATGTTGAGAAAGAGTGTGGCTCAAAATATCATGAACCCGCACACCCTTTCCCTTCCTTTTTATTTGTTTCAAACCAAAGCACTAGCATCCACTTTATTTTCTCTGACAACAGATACGTCGATGGAGTTCGGCACAAGCACGAGAGTTTGGGAACCTTCACAATACGGTGGCGTTGCTTGTCTTGCATTCGGATGTCTCTTCCCAAAGGAACGTTGGTAAGCTTTAAGCTGTCTTTAATACGCCAGGAAGATGCAGAAATGGTGAATTTGTCAGTGGTACATGGACAGTAATAATGTTAGCAGTTCAGTGGATATTACTTATTTCTCATTGGACTATTTGATATTTGAGAACACTTAAAATTTTTTGTTTTAATTCATTTTGAACTTCACCTTATTTTACTAGTTTGTCATAAGAAAAAGTCAATAATTTATTTGGGGGTTCGATGTAAAAGTATTAAAAAACACTAGGATTAAAAGCTGTGTTTGTATGCTGTTCCAAGACCTTGTCATGATGGCACCATCAACAGCAACAAGGATGATACAGTAAAGCACCTGAAAGTGCTCAGTGTTTTCTGTGTGCTGAGCCTTTCCATGGGGCTTTCAGTCTGTTGTGTTCAATCCCCTCAGCAAACCCTTGAGGGCTGTTCCCCTTCTATATGTGAGGAAGCTGAGGTAAGAGAGGTCTGGTGACTCCCGGAAGTCTCACAGCTAGTCAGTGGTGTAGCAGCTGGTCTGGAACACAGCCTCTGACCCTGAAGGCTGTGGTGGGGTCTTCATGTCATCTGACCAGGAAGATCTGAGGCAGGAAACCAGTAAAAAGCTCTGACTCATCCACCTACAAGGACAAAGCTACCGAATTCATAAGTTCAGACAGGTTTGCAAAAGAGAATGAGAGTGTGAGTCCTTGATTTCTAGCAAGTAGGGTAAGCTCTTCCACGGGGGTCCATTCTGCTCAGCGTAAGTGATAATGGCCATTGTTTGAGCAAAAGAAGTCCCTTGCCCAGTGACTTCAGAGGCACTTTGGGCATTCTTTTTCATACACTGTATATTTTCACTTCTTGGAAAGAGTGTGTTGGATGGGGATCACTGGGAGTCTAGAGATCTTAACAGTCACACCTACGACTCAAGCATACACTGCGAGAGAGGGGCGAGCACTTGCTCCTGTCTCGTGTCTGTGAGGGAACAGGTTGTCAGCGCCCAGCAACTGTCGATGTGGATTTCGTGTATAACATCCGGTGAGGTGGGTTTTCCCTTTGGTCTCCTAAAGCTCCTGGTGTATTTAAACAACGGCCGCCTATTAGCATTGCCCCCTCGAGCCCCCTGCTGCCCCTCCACGAGGAAGTCGAGGCCCTGTTGTTCTTGTCTGAAGGGAAACCTTACCTGTTAGAGGTATGTACTTGTTCTGCTAAAGCCATTTTCTTGTTGTTTTAGTTATTTTCTTCTTTTGGAGGAAAAATGCCTTTTGTTATCAGTTGTATTTTGTATGTTACTCTGATGAAAGGGAGTACTATTAAGAGCAGAAATTATTTCAGATTACTTTTACTTGCTGTATGTATGTCAGAAAGAAGTAGGCAGTTGAAGAGTGTATTGTTAGTCCTCTCTGCAGCCGAGAATTGGACTTCCAGGTCCCGCCCAGCTAGTTACCCGTCCAGGTCCCAGGAGAAGGAGGTACATGGCACCTCCGCAATCACACTTAGTCAGTGTATTATCAGCGGGTTTGTTCCCAGTCTCTGGTGTGTATCCTGTCCTGAAATACTACAGCTCTGAAGCACACAGGCGTTTCAGTCCCAGGAGTACGGAAGTGGGCTGCTCACAGCCCCGTGTGGCCCATCCACAGTGAGTCCCTGCCCCTTCTGCCCAGAGCTAGCCCATCTCCAGAGCGTAACTTCAGTCCTTGTTTACATGTATGTGACGCTGAGAACATGCATCACACTGGTATTTAATTGCATCAGCAAGTACTGTGCTATATATCTTCCCTTTTTTTTCAAGCTTAACATTATGTATTTTTTGGATCTGTCAGTCATTATTTTAATTGAGGGGGCCATTTACCTTTAAAAATCTGGTAAAAGTGACTCCTGAAAAAAAGGTGCACATTTGCACAAATTGTATTAACTCTCAGACTGTTTTGAGGTAAAGTGGATGATCTTAAAGCTGAGCAAATTTCAGTGGAAGTCAGACGCCACACAGTGCCAGTGCACTGTGACCGAGGAAAAGCTCCCTCTCCTGTGCCCTCTCGCTAGGTAATGTTTGCTCTGCGGGAGCTGACGGGCTCGCTGCTGGCGCTCATCGAGATGGTAGTGCACTGCTGCTTCTGCAACGAGCACTTCTCCTTCACCATGCTGCACGTGGTTAAGGTAGGGGCTGGGGCCCCCGCGACAGCCCGGCAGCCTGCGGTTGAGGCTGCAGGACAGCATTCCTTTGCTCCTAGGCACTGTGCTTCTTTTAATAACCTCAATTGTTTTTCCTAGTTGTAAAAATAGCATAGTCTCTTTTTCTTAAATGAAGAATTAAAAAAAGAACTCAAAAATCTCACCACTTACGATCATCATGAATATTTTCTTGTTTCCCTTTTATTTTCTATGCATGTATTTTCACATAATTGGGACTTTATTGATGATTTTGTGTCCTTTTTTTCACTTGATATTATAAGTTTTTTCCATATTATTAAAAGTTATCTGAGTATATTTCATTCTCTGACGTATCAGAATTTACATAACTATTCCCTTCCCAGTGATGCTCATTTGCATTGGGTTCAGTTTTTAACTATTAAGAATAATAGTTTATAAATTGATAATGCTATCAATGGTGACCATTATTGTGTAAAATGGTTTTACAGTTTCAGATTATTTCACTAGGCAACATCTAAAAAAATCAAAGGAAGACTGATTTTTCTCACCTTCTGAAATTGTGGTGTATGTAGCTCATTATGAAGCTCTGATCAATGTAGTAATTACTTATGCTGCACTTACTGGATGCCAAGCACTGTTCCAGGCATATTACATACTTACCTCACTTAGTGCTCAAGCACTTAGGTCCTGTGAGGTGGATACTGTCATTGTCACCTTTCTGCAGTCGAAGAACTGAGGCACGGGGCACGTGCTCTTGCCCAGGGTCACACAACTAGTAAGCGGCAGCGTGGGAGTTTGAGCCTCCGTGCTGCAGCTGCAGGACTGTGCTCTGAGCCATATTGTTTACTGCCTTGCTGGGATTATAAGAAAAACCTTTAAGCCTACGCGTACCATTTTTGTTTTGAATGTTTAATTTTTAATTACTTGGATAATACATGACTGCCTTCTTTTTGTGAAGAACTGAAACATACAAATAAGGCCAAAGTCCACTTTGACCACCACCAACCAGCCTTATCCCCTCCCCACCCTCCCGCACTGACCAGTAAGGGGTGTGTCTTTCCAGGCCTCTTTCTGTGCGTTCACACCAGATATTTTAGCTTCTGCTACGCCTCCCTATCTGCCCCAGGATTTGTAACAGTGATACAGGCAGTGTTTACAAGGAGCCAGTGGTCAGTGGATCATGTCTTCAGGCTCTTACTAAAATATATTTTGCCCTCAGCCTTTCCAGTACAGACCTGTATTAGAGGTGGTCAAGTCCTCTGTTTACTAACTATATAGTCTAGGGCAGTGTCCTCCTCTGGAAAATGGGAGGAAGCAGGACTTGACTCGCAGATTGTGAAGATCCCGTGAGGTGTGACGTGAAGTGCTTACTTAGCACTGGTCCCAGCACCTTAGAAGTGCAGTGTTGAAATGCGGGCTTCTTTCCCACCACGTATGTGTTTACGGTTATTAAGATGCACAGGAGTGTGTTTTATGAACCTTGCTTTCTTCACTTAGTGTATCTTGGCAGATTTTTCCACTTCCTAAGCTGACTTTTCTTATACTTTTCACTGATAACGTGCTTATCTCAGAACATTCTCACTTGCATTCTCAGAGATAGACCAGCATATTCTAAAGAACAAAGTAGGGTATGTATGAATGAAATGTAAATTTAGGCCTGTTCAGTGACTGAAAATGCTCTCCTTTCCCTTCTGCCTTTTTTCCTCCCTCCTTCCTAATTTCATAGTAAAATATCATGGAGGGTTACAGCAGGGAGGATGGTAGAGGTTATTTGTTTCAGTCCCCAGATTTAGCATTTGGGAAAACTGAGACCCAGAGAAGGCAGTTGACGGGCCCCGGATCAGCCAGGTAGTGGTAGAACTAGGGCTGGCGTCCAGCCCAGCCCAGCACAGCTGGCTGCTGCTCCGGCGTGCTTTCCACACAGGACTCACTGGAATCTTTATGCTTTTAAAAAATATTTCAGAACCAACTAGAAACAGCTCCACCCCATGAGTTAAAGAATACATTCCAGCTACTTCATGAGATACTGGTAAGTCATGAATGTTCTAATTCACTTAATGTTTAGGTGTTTATTAGTCACCATGTGTTTGTGAATAAAATCTGTGTGTCTTTGTGTTGTTTTTGCATTCATTTGGTCTGCACTTACTAAGTCTGCTCCAGATCAGCCATTTTTTGTGCATGACTGATTTAAAAGGGAGCAATATTAAACTACCTGGTGGGTGCTCGCAGTTTAGTGAGAGTGCTAAATACAGAGGCAGTCATAGTGCAGAGGACAAAGGAGTAATAGATGGGCCACCAGGGGTAGGAAACTGCACTCAGTTCAAATATTATCTCATGTAAACCTCATGATAACTGTCAGAGGTGAGTGGCTGGCTGTGCAGTTCATTCAAATCCAAGACACCATTACTAGTAGTACATTACAGTGTGTGTACTACTGAGAATATCTTTATGAGCCGTGAAACTGAAATTTAGTCCTCTGTATGGTGCATCCCAATTTTGGAAATATGAAAAGGAGGGGGTTGGAAATTCAGTTGTAATCAGTGAAATTCAGTATTATTAGAAACTGGAACTTAGAGAGGTGGAGTGACCTGCCCAAGGCTGTCGTTTAATAAGTGACAGAGCCAGGATCTGAGCCAAGCGACTGGCCCTAAGGCCCATAATCTCCACCAAACCCCTGGTTTGCTCAGTGAATTGTAAGTGGTATGACTGGAACGAGTAGGAACTGAGTAGGGCTTAGGAAAAGGAGCCCAAACCAAATCAGGAGAGGCTTCGGGTGCCAGTTCATGTGGACTTTTTCCTGTAGGCTAGTGGTTACACAGGGGTGGCCAGCTTCCACCTATATGTCTGTTGTTCTGGTTTTTAATTTCTGGATTCCAGCCTATCTTGAGAAATCAGGTAGTCTAGCCCATCGGTTCCATTTCCTACATGCCAGTCACATGAGCAGTCAGCGTGCCCCCTCTGATGAGGCTTGTGGTCTCCAGTTCCCCACGGTCCTGACTACCCCTTACTGGCTGCCGCGTTGCTAACTTGTCATCTTGGCCTCTGTAGACATTGAAGTCTGCAGCCTCTGCCATCAGTGACGGGCACTGTGGAAGGGTTTTAAGCAGGAAAGCACTGTGGCCTGATTTATTATGTCTTAGAAAGATTCCCCTAGCAGTTGTTTTGAAGGATGGACCAAAAAAGGAAGCAGGGTTGGAATTGGAAGGCCGTATAGGAGTCTGTAGCAATAATCCGAGTGTGAAGTAACAAGGCTTACACTAAGGAGAGACAGAAGTCCAAGGGGCACGGGACAGGTCAAGAGGTATTTCGGAAAGAGAATCAATAGAATTTGGTGACTGACTGCGAGCTGATGAAAGAGACTAGCCCAAGGACTTCTTAAAGACGGGGAGGACTTCAGGTTCCCAAGGCTTAATATAGTCCTTGGCACAGGGCAGGCATTTAATAAACACTTTGAATAAGGAGACACGTTGTGGTTGCCGTTACTAACAAGACTGTCTCCCTGGTCCTAATTTACCTCCTTTTCATCCTAGTGCTTTTGGAGGTTGTTGCTCCTCAGGGGTAGGACTGAGTGTTGTTCATCTGTTCAGCAACAAACCCATTTAGTCTGTTGCACTGTGCACAGTTCAGTG